TTCCGATCCAAATTATTAAATATCCGCTTTTTTGAGGTGGAGGAGGAAGAGAAAAGAAATTCTGATCCTAAAAAAAGAAAAAAAGGAAGTAGCTTATTGCGAAGCTGGAGAGCGGAGCTTTCCTGCGCCCTGCGGAGGAACAATCTGACTGCGATGATAAAAGGCGCCTAGCTGCATCCTGCGGCACTGCGGGGAGCTGCGCCCGCCGTGCCGACCGGCTTCGAGGCCGGCAGCAGCTCCCCTACCCCCTGTCCAGTCTGACCTCCTACCAGGAGCAGACCGGCAAGCCCTACCCACCAGTTTCCATGTGAAACCCCGAAGGTTTGGTCTTGCAGAGAGATGTCTAGCTCCAGATGCCAACAGGACACTGCCTTTGGTCGTCACCTAAATAAACCACGTCAGGCCACCTCTTGCTCTGCGTCTTGTGTCCCTTTCTGCTGCCTCTCCTTTCTCTCATGTTTCCCACATTTTTGTCATTGATACGTTTATATATATATTTTGTTGTTGGGTTCTCTGGAGCTCTTCTCTTCCAGCTTTGTTGCGTTTTGTAATAGCTTTAGCCTTTTACTGAATTTTACCCAATCATTCTGCCTGTTGGCCGCCCCTTGTTCTGAGACAGACATGGCCTCCACCTGCCTGGTGACACCAAGCCACAGTTGCCCTCTGGCCGTGAGTATAAATGCAAGAGTTGGGCTTTCTCCTCTCCCCACTTCTGCGTGCTCGGCTATTTCATTGCTCCAAACTTTGAAAATTCCTTGCAGCTTTTACTGCGACCCTGGTGCAGGACTCCTGAATGAATTCTTTTGGGCAGCTCCTTCTTTGTTCCCACTGCATTCACTTTTCTGCTCTCCCGATCTGTGTCTTCCGTTTGCTTCCCAGCTTCATTAGTTAAATACCTTCCTGTTCTTGCCTCGTTTTTCATAATTCTTTTATATTCAAGACCCATCCGTGGCTGAGGTGAACAGATCAAGGACCGAATATGTAGCGAGCACTAGCTGTTCCCATGACTTGTTCAGCCATTCCCGTCCTGAGGCTGGTGTTAGACGTGGGCTCTGGGGCTGTGTGTGAGGATCTTGCACAAAGTCCTGGCTCCTTAATGAGAGTGCTTAAAGCGGGAATATCCACCACGGGCAAAACTCCTCATGCAGAAGCAGCAATAACACTCTGATGGTGCCAAACTAGTAGGAAGATGATTAGAGCTTTTTCTATTTCTGGAGGAGAGCCAAGGGGCCGTAGCCAGCAAAGAGGCCTTCCAGCTCTTCCAGCGGTGGTGAGATTTTGGAAGCAGGCACAGATAGGTGCAGGACAGAGCAGATCTTACTGTGCAGAGCTGGCTGTGCCCCCATCCGCTGCCAGCGGAGGTGGGAAAGCCCGGTGACTCGGCTGCCGAGGTTGCTTTCCGAAAACCACCAAGCGTTACCAGCACAGATGGCCACTGGGCACAGCCTGGAGGCTTAGCACGTCCCAGTACCTGCCAGAAACGGACACAAAAGGGTCTCAAATTTGTGTTAAAGCAGTTTGACTACTTGGGAGACAGCACATGTGCAGCCAGGCACAGTAGCTCCAAAAAGGCAAGACCCGTGTACTCATCCGGCTGAGGAGAAAAGAAGCTGTCTGTGTGTAAGTTGTGTTGAGGAGGTTGCTATAAAAAGCACGAGACAAATCGGCAGCATAAACCAAGTCTTGCTGCTGAGCTAGCGTGACACCGGCATAATCAGTAATATGTCACTGATTTTTCAGTTGCATTAATGAGTAATTTGTAATAGATTACCCTTTCATAGTAACTTTAACAACCCTTCCCACTGAGCGTGACACTGGGGAGCCACCAGAGCAGAGGTGTGCTGCCCTGTGTCTTGAGCAAGCAAATGCCTGGTGCTGCCAGCTCCGTGATTGCAATCCTGTTCCTGCATGATAATTAGCATCAGCCCGCTCAGCCCTTACAGATGGCTGTCATCTCTCTCCTAGTGCCACCCAGCTGCATGGGACATCATTGGTGAACCCATGGCACAAGCAGGAGAT